GGCTTGATTCAGGGTAGCTACCAACAGAACCTTCGTCACCATAAGTTGAATATCTTGAGTGACACAGGATGTGTTGCAAACGTTTTTGTTTACGATCTTAAATCGTAGTAATCAGTATTTAGCTTAAAACATCACCAATCTAGGTCTTATGGCTAATTATCATTTTTATCATAAATAAAAGATTTATTCGAATATTATTGTGTTACGCACAAAATGCTTTAAAAAAAAATTAGGATCTTTCTCTCTCATTTTCAAAGTGGTTTTGCTAAAAAATTTACTTTTTGCACAAGAAGTTATATGTGGAAGCCTCACTTTATCCAATTTCTATGCGATTTTGGAAATATTTTTTATTTAAGTTGCATAATTTTTAACACATATTTTTGCTTAGTTTTTAGGAATAATTTTAACTGTATTTGACCTTAAACAGCAGGGTTATGGCATTGACCGGTCAAATTTTTTGTGTCAATTGCCAGAAATAATTTAAAAAATGCAATGAAATTTATATTTACTACCAATAGACCTTTAATCCTTTTACTAAAACTTGAGTATCTGGCAAAAGAAAACAATTGGGACATAAGAATATCTATCAATCATATCCTTAAGTTTCTTGTTTTGGTATCATGATACGAATTTTAGCCAACTGCGTATATAATTTTTAGAATAACTCTGACATTGAAAGCAAACCAAATTAAGAGTTCAGATTCAAGAAAAATTTGCAGTTACAAAATTTACAAAAATATAATTAATTTCAAATAAAAATTTTAAAATCTTATTTATTTTATCAAAAAACTTAAAAACAAAAGTTGTCTGGATTCACTTATACTTTTTTAATATTATATAAAACTAACATCTTTCTTATTCTAAATGGAACACTCTGTATGTATGGGTATTTTTGAATTTTTTTTAACTAAATATATCTAACGACTTCTCCTACTGAAAGCCATTTTTTATACTTGAGGTTGATTTACTTCTAGAATGGCTACTTTAGCAGCATAAGTGTTGTATTACAAGTAAAGACCACATAAATGATCCCGAAAAGTTAATAGGAGAAAACTCTGATAATCTACTATATATAATTTAGATAAAAAAAATTTTGGACGGTTTTCAAATGCACAGTGAAAATCTTTGATTCTCTTAATCATTGATTTGTATCTTGATCAACATTAAAGATACTCCTCCTACTCCTAACCTGTCTATTGGAATTTGGAATTAGTCTCTGACTTGAAAAAGATAATGCCTGAATGTTGCATATAACAAAATTATTCTCTTAATTTGTTTTATCAAGGACCATATTTACTAAATATCATTATCAATTTTTTATTCAGTAAAACAATGGATGAAACTGCTAAGCATTAATGTCGAAAATGAAAGTCAGGAAAACAACAACGGCAAAGGATTTTTACAATAGAAAAATGTTTTATTGTTAATATTTCCAAATCCACAACTTCTAGAAATTGTCAACACATCAAAATATTTAGAGTAAAATATGATAGGATACGAAAAAAAATTGTTTATTTATAATTTAAATGTCACAGTTACGTACGTACGAGCTTTACTTGTAGGGGTAAAATTAATTCAGTATTATTCTCATCGTACTATAAATTCTTGTTAATTGCTTTTGAATAAATTATTGTATTAGATGGACATGACTAATTAAACACGAAGATCGTACAACACCATCTCACACCAAAGAATTTTTCAACAAAACATTCTCCCACTAATATAATAATATAATATAAATTGGTAAGTAAAAAAAATACTAGCAATATTAACATTTTTTTATGCATTTTAGATGCAGGGGCAGAAGTTAAACCAAACCTTCTCTATCTTCGTTTATTTATATTTCTTATTCTTTTATCTCTCCTTTCTACTGTTTAATTAGATTAGGTATGTGACGTCATTGAAAAGTTACACGGTACTATCAAATGATGTAAGTACCATCTGCTGTGGATTTTATTGGGCCAAAGTTCAATATATACAAGGTGTTTCAAAAATAAACGGGAGATATTTTAGAGATAATTTACTTGCTAAAAAATATTAACAACTTTTTTTATAAACGTGTTTTTTTATTAATATCTCAACAAATGTTCACTAGATTATCTTAAGGGGCTAATTTAGCCATAATAGATTTAAATTACTAAGTACAGTGGCGTTCATAACATAAAATAAATAAATGTCCAACATCCATTGCCGACAAATCGTTGAAAGACGAACTCGACCTGGATAATTTGAATCAATTAGTATTAAATTAGCCTCTTAATACACCAAATAATATTGCCAAACTTCAAGAGAATCAATCAAGAATATTGGTTTAGATATTATTCCTTTTTTTTTCTATTTAACACCAATCTTAAAAACAACATTCCCCGACCCATATTGATATACACTTTTTTCATATTTTTCGAACACCTTGAATATTTTTATTCAATTTTATTTTATTGTATCACAAAAATAAATCAATATTTTTTCACGGCTAGTCAATAAATGAGATATGAAGTGCGCTGGCGTTCATATCCTGAATAAATAACGCGATATCATTTTCTCGATATGATAACAGCCAAAATAAATCGATAGAATTTATAAGCAACGATATAAGACCCTGATATGGGGGAGCCTCCCATCGTGTATTAAATTTGTCGGTGTTGAATACATATTTAAGTGGTCTGTTGCTATTAATAGTTTCGCTGGTAGACGCAGGATATATTTTTAGTTTTGTGTACTCGAAACAAGTGAATTTAAATGCACTTGCGAAACGTAAACTGTGAACTGGAACATGAAAATATACAAGAAATACGCGGGTGAAATTTTACGGCCACTACGAGGAAAAGCAGAGCCGTTTGATCTGCGGGACACATTAATCTGCTTCCTTATAAAATAATTACACCGAAACTGCCGCGATGAACGAACACAATGACTTATTTATTTGTTTATCGGTTACCCTAATGCCATAATTATTTATTCATTTATCAAAGGAAAACTTAAAATAATCATTAAAATGTCACATAAAATAGTTCTACAGGGTGGGCAAAGTTCACACTTGGACACAGTGTGTTATAATTTCATGAAAAAAATAATGGTAAAAACCGCAGTACGATTTCTAAGTTTATCGTGTATTTTGCGAAAATGTGCATTTTTTTAAAAATCGCTGAAAATATTTGTTATGAAAAATTTTGTTTCTATAAAGATATTTTCAAAACTAATGGTTTATTAACGATTAAATTGAAAAATCAAATTTTGCACACAACTTCCTGTATATATGATATTTTGCTAGAGTTTTATTCCAAATACAGAGTTTTTACCACTTTAACGCGTAATACCGGAAAAATGCATATTGTCAAATTTTGAATTTCGTTTCTAGTACGACGAGTTTTTAGTCTTTCAAATAAATGGGACACTATGTTTTATGAAAGCCAAGAAAAATGCAGAAAGATAAACAAAGACAAAGTCAGTTTGAGAAGAATCGCCAAAAAAAATATGATTGGGAATAGTGGTTATAGGAACCATTAAAAATAATCATACGTCAAGACGAAAGTAGAAGACACCAACAAGACTATCGAGAACTAACGTTAGATCAACTTAAACAAAAAAAAGAAATTTATTCGGAAGATAAAATTAGTACGATGCATACCTTCCCAATTATAATTTGACAATTACCTAGTTCATGAGTTCATAACTGCTATCTTTTCAAAGAAGCAAAATATCAATTGTGCTATATTTTATGAAAGAAAATATTAAGTTCTTTTCAATGATCCAAAAATATACAGCTTGTCCCATAAAGAAAATGGAGTTAATAACTTATAAAATAACTTAAATTTCATAGAATACACCATTTATCATGTGAAGAAAGTTACAGCGACTTTTTAAACATATGCAATCTATGAATTTGAAACGGTACTAGATATTTATATGCATTTTCCTTTAGATAGATAGATAGATCCCATACAAAATGTCCAATCTGACGTATCTAGTGTATTTTAATGTTTCTGCGTTTAACACTTGTATCTATAAAAGAAAAATGACTCTTACGGAAACGTTTAGAAGTCTTCGAGATGTGGTGCTACCAGGTGCTCAGAATATTTCATCATAAGTAAGAAATGGAAGCTATTAAAACCGGAAAATTGGGATACTTTAGCCAAATGATGGAACATGGAAAATGAAAAAAAAACTAGGACAATGGACTATTTACATCAGCAGTAAAGAAATTTATCTGGACTAATGTAATAGCCAACAAGCACAGAGGATAGGCACAAGCAGTGTGTGAGAGTGTCCACTGTAAAAATAATACAAATATTCAATTCCCCATTTCTTGTAGCTTTAAGTGTAAGTTACTCAAAATCGAAGTAATGTAGGTACAATTTTCCAACTGAAAATCTCATAGAAAATAAAAAAATCCACCTGTTCCGCTTTTTTTGTTAATAAAAATTTTATAATCTTTTGAAGTCATATGCGTTGACTCATTTCGAATGTTTTTGTATTTAATTACGCGGAAGAGTAGGGTTTTATTAAGTGTGCCGAAGCTCGGGCAGCAATCAGATTTTGTTGGCCTACCGGGTCAAATAAACAACAAATAATTTAAATTTCATACTTTACACTGCATTCGAACGCCAAAACCACGTACGTTAACATAAATACCGACTAAAACAATAAAAATACGATATCGCGAGCTCGTATAATTAACATAAAATTTCCATTCAAAAAAGACCCGTACGGACTAGCATAAAAATGTTAATCAAGCAATATAATAAACCAATACTAATTAAAGTGTAATGTTTAAACGCGCATATCATTAGACGCCGGCACAAAGTTCAACAACCGAAATAATTTCCAATGACAATGACTTACTTTTGGAAGAAAATCGAAACAAATGAGCATGAGTCACTTAATAGTAAATTGTGACAAATGGCAATAAATGGCAGCTTGGTTTCCAGTTCAAAAACGAGGATACCTACATTCGCGTGACTCATGGATTTACAGGTTAATTAAACCACTTAAAAACTCACCAATTGTCTGCTATAGACGAGCTATCCTCTCTAGCCTTGTGCAGGGCGACACTAAATCCAAAGTAGCTCCCGATCTGATCATCCGGAGCTTTTTTTACCAGCGGGTCCCTATCTTCTATGTTAAAACAATCCACCACGGTCCTTCGAGCCGGTACTAATAAACATGACACCAATAACAGTTTATGGAACATTTTTTATTATCGATGTTACTCCACTATCTTTTAAAACTTCGAAAACCGCTTAGGAAAGCGCGAGTTTCATGCCGGCGATTTGTGGACAACGTGTTCCGAGCGTCAAAATTACGTGGTGTCTAACACGCTCTTCCTTCGGATATTCAGCGCCAACTAATCAAAAATGTTGGAGTTCCGCGAGAACGAGCTTTCTGTGTGAAGGCGGACCCACGTTGCCACGTCCACCGAAAAGTTGTTGGGCGCAGGGAATTGTCAAGAATACATCCATCTGCAGTGTGTTAGCACACAGGGTAGGGCAAAAAATACGAAAACTGCACAATAGTTTATTTGAAAAAATTGGGCAACTAAGGAATGTTGTTTAGATTTAAACGTTATGCTTTAATATCAAAACAAAGATAACAAAGGTTTTTTATTCGAAAAATATTAATAATTTCCTTATTTCTTAAAATTAATGGTTTTATTATTAAATTATTCAATATCAAACCAATTTTGCAAATTTTTCCAATTCCATCTTATTTGTAAAATTAACACAAATTTTATGTTTGTTGCAACGATATTTAATAACACTCAAACATTTTTTGAAAATTCTGTTTAATTAGTCAAAACATTGATAATTATAATGGGCGTATTAAGAAATCGTTATTAAAATTGCAAAATTTTTAATTTAAATAACTTACTAAGATAAATAATAATAATTATTGAACAAATTACGAATAAAAACATATTTGGGAGGTAAAAAATTATCGAACCGGTTCTGTATGTCCACCTGCTTCTTTGATGGATGTAATTATACCATCATAAAATTACCTAACGGTTGATCTCAGTACATTTGGTATAATTTTTCTGCGACGAAGTCTTATTTAATTTTCAAGATCTTCAAGATTATTAAATAAACTTTTTGTTTCAAATATATCAATAAAAAAAATGGGGTGATATCTGGCGACAGGAAAGGCCATCTTAGATTGGTACTTGACATCCTTATATTTCGAAATTTATTGGGCAGATCTTCTGACGTTTTCAACAACTAACTGAAGTACTTTTAGTAGATTTTCTTCATCACAAACAGTTTGAAGACGTTCATTCCTATTGCACTGACACTCTTAACATTCGGTCTTCAGGAATAATGAATTTGTTTATCTGGATGTCGTCCATTGAAGATATCTACTGCTTCACGCATTGGTTTATAATTATCTCCACCTATTACAACTAACTCTGCTTTCTCAGATAATATTAACTCTCTTGGACCGTCACAATGTCTGCTTCAAACTCTCTCCTTATATCACGGATGTCCGCGATTATTTTAGCAGGATTTTATGTTTTTCAATTAGTAATAATTTATACCTACAGTTTTCTGTCAGATACTGAAAATATTTTTTTTTGGCAACTTAAAAAGAATTTTTCAAGGGTTATTAAATATCGTTGCAACAAATATAAAATCTGTGTTTCCCTAAAATATTAAAAATCTCACTTAATTTTTTTGAATTATTTGCCACAGTAGTTGAAATTATAAAAAAAAGGAGATTATTAATATTTGCGCTTGTGACCAGTTTTTTTTTCTACGCTATATGCAGTTTTATTTGGCAATATTTTAATATGAGTATGGAACATGCACTAACTTTTGGCAATATTCTTATTTTAATTGTATGTTACCACCCCTACCTCTAGTTTAGAAATTGCCCATCCCTTATGAAATTCCCTGTATACCTCATTCTGATATGTTTTCCAGAATTTTTTGGCCTTGTTTCTCAAAAATTTGCTTAAGTAAACTAAGATCCATATTTTGCTGTTAAATGTTTGATAGCCTTTCAGCGTTTTGGTAATTTTCCGCAATCAATTTAATTTTTTTTTATATTATATTTATTTATTATATATCTATTTGTATATTTTATATTATTTGCGCCCTTAGTTGTTGGAAGGCAGGATTCTTAATATAAAAACTATTTTATTTAGCTGTTTCAGAAAATTACAAAAACAAAACCAAAAAAACATTTAAATTTTTCAAATCAAAGCATATTTAAAAAGGTATATGAAATCAATTGAATTCCTACAAGTTTTTGTACGGTACATGAAATTTCTTTTGTATTTCTGTCATGTGCCTGTATTTACGAATATGCCTCAAATGTACCAAGTGTAATTCATAGGAATATATAAACACATAAAAAAAATTAATGTTAATTAATATATTTTTGCATTTAGAAGAGGTTGCGCCTTCCTACTTAGTTAAACAAATAGTTTATAGTAATTTAAGCATTTCAATATCATAGCCAAGTTTTTGCTTGGCTAAACAACAGGGGGAGCTTTAATAATAATAGTATAGAATTTATTATTATTATAAATTTAAATTTCTGAAATGTAACTTTCTAATGTCAATTTTGACCAAAGTACTGAAAATTGTTATTGTTACATGTTGTGTTTTTATTGCTTCCCATATCTTTTCATCTCAAGCCACCATCCGTTTCAAATCTTTAATTAAATTGTATCAAAATTTTTCAAATTTGTAATAACTGTAAAATGTGTTGTGGTATGTGATACGATGATTATAAAATATTTTAATATATGTAAACCAAGTCTGCTAGGTTACTGTAGCGATTAAATAAATAAATTCCATGGCGCGGACAACTATATTTCGTAGGGGAGTATATCGTCTGACGATAAATCATATCGGTCCAGGTTAGTCGAAAATTGAAACACAAAATATATCAACAGATTCTGTTGTTACTGTATGATTGTAATTATATAAACAACAAATACGAATTACATAACCTAAAGCGTCTGGTTTACTATAAGGGAACGGCAGAACTATATTAATTATTATTTCGTTTCACTGTTCAAAAGATTCAAATGAGGAATAGGAATAAATTGTTGATTCCACCCCGATTTTTTGATGTAATGCCTATTCATTGAAGAGTTTCGATTGTAGATCCAAATCTGTAGAGCTCCTAAGCTGTAAGTCAAAACTGGAAGCACCCATGAGTTTATTGCTTCAACCTTTGCACGTGACTAGAGCTCTGCAGTCTATACTTGTTTTTTTTTACGTCGGAGTACTCGATATTGAATGTTTGAAAGGCCCCAATATATTTTTCATCAACTGGCAGAGGAGAAAACAGGGACAGGTCTGCTAAAACTGTATTTGGGAGTCTCTCATTTTGACAGATTTGATATTGCTAAATGCGCATTTTTCCATACCAAAGGACATTCTGACAGTTTCTACGAACGCAGAAGTTCTGGTTGTACTTTTAATTGCACTTCATTTGCTGCATAAAGTTCGATGTACTCCATATATGCTAGGTGACTGCGTGGCTGCCTTTTTAGATTGTACTCTGTGGACTGTGTGGACTCTAGCATGGTTCTGAGTTGGTTCATTGCTAAGCAAAAGCAAATGAGCCAAGAGTGTGAACGGAATCGAATGCCTTTCGGTAGTCTATCCAGGCCACCGAGAAGTTTCTTCTCTTCTCCCTGGCATGATTTGTAACCACTCTGGCTCTAGCTCTGCAGCCATTTTGTTGTTTTTGGAGAATATTCCAACAGGCTAAGTTAAGTTGCTGAAAAAGTCACAGCCATTTTACGTTCAAAAAGGATTCTCTTGCAGCACATATTCAAATGACACTTTCTTTTTGGTTCGTTACAGTCCTCCTTTACATCGTCTAAATGTTCTTCAACCCATTGTTTTAACATAATAAATAATGACGGTAACACCACTAATGGCAATGAGCAAATTATTTTAAACCTTCTTTTAAAAAACTAAATAAAACTAAAGATAATATTGGAAAAGGTTTTTAAAAGTATCAAGCAAACCCAAATCGGAACTTTAATTGTGAAAAATTTTGGCAAAGATCAGCAAGTAAAATTAAAAGTTAGACAAGAATATCTGAAAATTAAGAGGTCCTAAACCAATGACCCCATGTGGTAACTAAATGAAATTCAAAAGGACGTGTCAAATGAAGACTTCCTTGAGGAATTAGAAAAACTGAACAACTTGGTTAGAATGTCCGAATGACCTACCTCAAAATGGTTTTTGAAAAAAGGGAAAAAAGAAAAAAAGGAAGACTATAATTTGGCACAATGTTCCAAGTCCCGAAACAACGAAAAAACGAGAAACAATGTTGTCACAAGTGTGGAAAAGAACACAAAGTGACGGATAGTACTCAAAACGTTTTGAAATGTTCAAACTACACGAAGTTAAAGCTAAATGATTTGAACCACTATGCTAGAGAATATTAATTAGAACGGTTTTTATAAAAAAAAAAACTAAACCAAAATCGAGTACAGGTTGTCGGTTAAACGAGAGCGATAGAGCTGATAAAGGTAGACATTCGATCGATCGGTTAATTGTTTGGTCAATTGATAGACCTCCATCAGGAAGTATAAACCTTTTTCTATATTGCTTAGGAAAGGTACTCTTAGATATTTACAAGGAAAATAACAAAAAAATGTTATTGCCGGGGATTTTAACATAGACATGCATAGAGAAAATAAACGTAGATTAAACTTAATTTCACGTCTTCGTTAATTGTGAATACAGAAACACTCTCGTAGTTGATGCTTTTATTTCTTATCACATGTGATGGTTTAAAAATTGGTCGGAGTGTACTGTGTGGTGGTGATGTGCGGAGCGCCCTCTATTGCCAATTGTCGGAGACGAAGTCAGCGAAGGAGCGCGGATTGGCCAGTTCCTTTTTAGGGGACGAACTGTGTTGACGTGCTATTTGATTGTTTTGTTCGATTTCGATCTGCTGGACCAGTCCATGCAATTTGTACTTTTGTTTTTCACGTATAGTAATACACTCTGTTAGTATACTATAGTGTGTATTGTTTTCGACGCTTCTGAACCCGGTGTGCTTCTGTAGAAACACATCCATCACACACACTGTTCTGAAAATTGTATTATTTTTAGCCAAAAAGAACAAAAGTAGTAGGATGTAGTTATGACGAAAACAAAGGATGTCAATCAAGAGTGGAACCCTTTTATGAATTTTCTTGATGAAAAATGCTAGGGGCGTAAAATTAAATGTTGAGATTAAAGATTGTAAACGAAAACATGATGTTTAAATATATAAACTGGAATACAGGAGAAAATATAATGTTTTGAAAACGGAACGATCTCACACATGTCACACTAGGCTAAAACTTTCTGAT